ACGTCATTATCGTGGTCTGCACAAACTTGTCATCATGTGTGTATTCTGCTAACTGCACTGTCCATAACTATTTGATAGGAATACATTTCTAGCCTAGGCTATTTCCTTGTTTTTCGGTGATTTAGTGGGCTCGTTTGTGGGATGTTGCGGATGAGTTTCACCGAGACCGCCTACTCTGAACAACCAATCACCGTACTGACCGCTTCTAAACTCATGCACGAGAATCGACGTAATCCATAGCAACGGCGCGTCACTCTTAGTTCACTCTTAGTGATTTATCCTTAGTATGAGTAGGTCTCAGCGGCTTTGTGAATAACTTTTAAGAAAAAACTCCTACGTAAAATGTTTTAGCGCGAGTTAGGAGCAATCCTAGCAGTAAGATAAAATGCTTTGTGAATACGGCCCCTGACCTTTAAGTGATAACTTGTAACTGCGAGCTCCATTAATCACAAGGGGCAGAAAAACATCCAAATAAGACAACAGATACAAACTGACACATAAAGCTAATCGTTAAGTGTTGACAAACAATTGCTGGCAGACACATTTACATTTGTTTAGTTTACATTTAGCTTAGTTTAGATCTCTACCATATCCTTAGACAAATATCAAGGTTTAAGCTGCTAGCTAAAGACAGTTCTATACATTATAAATGTACTTAAAAGGAGCTTCCTGTATGTGGTCTATTTAATGAGGTGTCTACTGCTGTGTACAACAACATTTATGGCATCACAACCCATAATGATTATTAATTACATGAAGAGGGGTTATTGGAGGGGACTGAAGGTAAATAACTGTGAAAGAACTGCCGTGATAATCGTTATCTGCGAGGGTGAGGAGGGTTATCAGTCATTGATAACATTTTTCACAGCTTCTGTTTTGTGTTAAATGTTGCATGAGCGCCCCGGATGATCTGATGACTCCGCTTTAGTCATTATTTATGGTTTTACAGCAATTGTGCAATAAAGGTGAATCCACTGAGGGGAACAGCTCGCTGGTGTCTTGGGAAATAACCACAGTATCTTGTTATTTCCTGTATCTGAGAGAACATAGACATGACTCTGTGTTGTTGTTGTTGTTGTTGTTGTTGTTGGGCTGGTGTAAAGACAAAATGTAATAGCATGTACGATCAAGTTGAATGTTTTGGGGGAGACCCGCTCACAGTCAGGACCCATCTGCGATTTACCCCTCGATATCTTGTCCCTACATGAACTGTAATTCTTGACTTCTTTAATCAGATCTGACACAGCTTGTCTCTTGAGGGATCCATCCATTTAATTATAAAATATCTTCATGTATATTTTAAGAGAAGCTTAATTTGTAGGCAATGCAAGTGGAATTAATGTGTAACTTTGGTAGATTATTAACCAAACAAGATCTAAGAGGAGAAGATGATCCCCAGCTGGCAACACTTTTAAATTTAGAAAAAGACTATCTTGCAAGTCACGATATGTATAGATGTTGCATCAAACTGGATCTCCAATGGAAATTACCCACTTTTAAAGCAGCCCTTTTTTATTGAATTCTGAAATGAAACTGCCCAGGGCATAAACATGTTTGCCTGGATCACCGCCTCCCAGCGGGGAAGTGTCATGTTCCTTTTCCTTCTTTCTTTTGGGCTTTTATGAGAACCAAATGTTTCATGGGAGACCCGTAATTCACATGCACCATCCATTTTATCTTGGTGTCTCAAAGTAGAAAGAGAACCCACCTTTATCAACAAACCTCTCTCGCTCACACTACCCTGTTGACGGTGAGGCAGGGGCTCATAACATAGCACATGCTTCAGATGGTGGGAAACGACCTGCGCTTTCTTAGAAAAATGGGTGCTGTGGACCGTGTTCCTCTCTGTGTCATCATTACCTGCCCCACATACTGTAGCACTGCATCATTAGAGCATTTCTCCAGACGTCATTCTTCAGTCAGATTTCAGCATGCAGGTGTAATGTCTGTGCTTTTTTTAGAATCTTACTAAATAACAAAAGTGGTTGGTGCCAACAATCTCAGTTTGATCAAAATGTGACATGTTAGATTTTGAAATCAGGCCAAGGCACTGAAGAATACCAAAGTTTAGTTTTTTATATTTCACACAGGATTCAACAGTCCTTTATGGGGCTAAAAGAACAGTATTTCTCATGAGTCTTTCCAACTAATTATTATTGTCATTTGTTTGAAGGATTCGCTAATCACATGCCTTATCCTATCTGCACATAATACCCTAGCATTTTCATTCAAATGAGGCAAACTGTATTAGGATTTATTTTCACAACTGCTTAGGGTTACTAATCAAAACAAACAGCATTTCTGGAGTTAGTTAATACCTGCCCCTAAAGAAGCATGCATTTTGAAGACAATATAACTTTCAATCAATCATATGATGTTGACACTTTGCATTAGCACACGATTAATTACATATTTGCAAAATATTGATAAATAAAAACAAATTCCTATAGCAGTTGCGTTAAATGTTAAATATCTTTCATTGTCCAGGGTTCTGATTCGCGAGCTGAAGCGGCTAGAGAACATCAGCCAATCACCATTCACCTCTCACATCACCAGCAGCCTTCAGGGACTCTCCACAATCCACGCCTTTGGAAGAGGGCACGACTTCCTCCAAAGGTGAGTAAAATAACGATGCCTGTCAGAGAAGGATATGATTCAACTTCAATTTTCTCTCATCTCGTTGTAGTTTTCAGTTTAAGCTTCGTTGGGTAAAATTTGCAAACCTCAAACAAGAAAATATCCTCTCAGAAAAGGCATTGAAATTGGAGGGTTGAGTTGTTCTTTTGGTTGATATGGGTTTATCTCTTTTTTTCCAGATATCAGGAACTACTGGACACCAACCAGGCCTCCAACTACCTCTTTAGCTGCGCCATGCGTTGGCTGGCTGTTCGCCTGGACCTCATCAGCATCACTCTCACCACTGGTGTAGCTCTTTTCATTGTCTTCATGCACAAACAGATACCTCCAGCCTACGCAGGCCTCGCCATATCGTACGCAGTGCAGGTTTGTAAAGAAACTCATGCAGTAGCACAGAGTGAATGGAGACAATGGCAGCCCTAGTAGACTTAAAGGGCTTATAAGAGGCTAGTTTCAAGCTCCAGACAGGATTAGAAATGCAGCAAAGTAAAGCCTCCCCAGTTTCTAAAAGCTACTATAAAAGCCTTGTTATAGTATTATAGCCTTTAGCTCAACAGCAGTATAGAATGGTTTACTACTTTCAAGTGGCTTTTGTTTTGCAGAAGTAGCATGAACTCGCTTTAAATAATCAACATGGGATGCATCAAAGTAACTGCTATCTTAAAGGAATCTTTTTCTCATTGTTAAGCATTTACATTTTTTGTCTCATCATTATTTTCTTAAATACTCAGTAAATCAGTGTATGTGATTATCAGCAGAGCTATTTCAGAATATTATGTAGGAGCTGTATCAGCATATGTTTACCTGGTTGTAGATCATTTGACAGTTGTACTGCCTGATGTCGAAGGGCAGAAGTGTTTCATGGTAATTGGTGTCACAGTGTTAATGTCATGCTTTTCTGGTTATTACCCGTCCCCTTGTGTGTTATGTAGCTTTTTATGCATGTAAACGGTCTGCAGAGTCACAAACCCTCAAAGTACACCCTGTAGCGAGTAAAACNAGAGGGGTTAGTTGGAGGGGACGTAGAAGGTAAAGTAACTAGTGAAAGAACTGCCGTGATAATCGTTACAATGACTGATAACCCTCCTCACCCTCGCAGATAACGATTATCACGGCAGTTCTTTCACTAGTTACTTTACCTTCTACGTCCCCTCCAACTAACCCCTCTTACATGTAATTAATAATCATTATGGGTTGTGATGCCATAAATGTTGTTGTACACAGCAAGTAGACACCTCATTAAATAGACCACATACAGGAAGCTCCTTTTAAGTACATTTATAATGTATAGAACTGTCTTTAGCTAGCAGCTTAAACCTTGATATTTGTCTAAGGATATGGTAGAGATCTAAACTAAGCTAAATGTAAACTAAACAAATGTAAATGTGTCTGCCAGCAATTGTTTGTCAACACTTAACGATTAGCTTTATGTGTCAGTTTGTATCTGTTGTCTTATTTGGATGTTTTTCTGCCCCTTGTGATTAATGGAGTTCGCAGTTACAAGTTATCACTTAAAGGTCAGGTCACCTATCTTGCTAAATCCACTTTTTCATGTCTTTTATACATGAACATGTGTCCCGTTCGGTGTAAAGAGATTCTGAAAGTTTGAGGAAAAAAGATTCACTCACTTTTCGTCCTGATCCTGATCCATTTCTATAAAAACCTGTCTGAAAATGAGCTGATCAGACTTTGGCCACTTTATGATGTCATAACGATGTTTTGGCTTGTGTAACCATTAGCCAATCACCAACCAAGGTAACCCCCCCCCCCCCCCCTTATCACCTGAATCTCCTTCTAGAGCACCATTGAGTTCTTTTTAACCAAATCTCTCTCAGAGGGGCGTGGGGAGGGGCTCCTTATTTTCATCTAAAGTAACAGACAGAGAATCAGCACTTTGGAAACAGGGCTGAAACAGAGGGGATTATGGGATGCTGCAATGATCTGTTTGGTATTTGGAGCCAAACACCTCAGAGACATGTTTTGTATATATCTGAGACCTATAATAGAGTAATGAAAAACAGTATAATAGGGGACCTTTAAAGTAACTATAGTACTTTATCAAGACATTACACTGCTAAGTCTGCAGGGAGGTGAAGTATAATGTGCAAAGGTGTATATAAGGTGTGTTTGAATCCCAGGCTTATAGCCAATAGCAAAGATAACAGCAGGAGTGATGAGAGTCTGACCTGGACACACGGTTGATGACGAAGAGGAAGGCTCCGATGGGCAGGATGGAGATCAGGAACCACGGGAAGACAATGCTCACCATTCCCAAGCAAAACAGCACCAGGGTCAGGTTCTGCAGCAGCATCTCAGCTTGCATGGTGAGACGCACATCCACTTTGGAGAAAACACATATTATATATCAGACACGCTGTATGATGTCTGACCCATCGGTCTCATTACTGTCATTACTTGGCTCAGGTCCATCAACACATAGCATGTAGCTCAAACCGAACATACAATAATAACAAAATGATGGCACAAGGCAAGTACAACAAATAATACTTAAACAAAGGAAGGGCATTCTTTAAAAAGGCACCTTGTTAAAAAATTACTTTTGGCTTCCCTGAATGTAATAAAACAATTAATTAAACATAGAATACCTTTCTCTATTACTCACAACTGCAACCTATTATCATAAAAAAAAAATGCAGGTCCTCTGGGTTCTCTCCAGCTCTTTACATCTCCCAGCAACCTTAGGATCCCTGCTGTTCACTAAAAAGTACAAATATCCTGCCAGTTGTTGTTGTTATTCGTACAAGTTTTCAAATTTAAGCTCTTGTTAAAGTCTACATAAATATCAAATGACGTCCTACTTCAGATATCCGTTTGCATAAACAGATCTTTTGGCCTCTGTTCAGATGTCAGTTTCAGTAGTTACACTTTTTTGAGAGGAGGTGGTAAGAGAAACAACAATCATCCAGTATCTGCTCAACCTGCAAGACCCATGGCAACTAAATGCTTATTTTTAAAGAGAACTTTTCTGTCTCCCTAAATGGATTTTGCTGGGTTTTTTTAGAGTGTAAAAAACATTATACTTAGAAATAATCCAACCACCCAAAATAACATCAACCCACAAAATCAACAAGTAAAGCATAGCTACCATAAAATATAAAATACTACTATGAGAAACTACACTGACTCTTGGCAGTACACCTTGTCAACCAGCGTGACTTCCCTGACTGAGAGCTCTCCTGGGGGACGGTTCACAGTCAGGACAAATCAGGACTCACCCTCATCCATGTCTCTGGAGAAGCGGGTCAGGATACGACCCAGGGGGGTTGTATCAAAGAAGTGCATAGGGCTGAGGAGGAGCTGGCGGAACAGCTTGTCATGGAGCACGGAGGCAGCCTTCACCGTGCACTGTCAACACAAACAACAGCCATGTTTCAACATGAGACCTGACACATGGAAACAAACAACTTTAGGAGACATACGGAAAGCATCACGGCACGGATAAACAAGTCGCTTGGAAGGAAATCGCCTGTCAATGTGCTCTGCCTCAAAACACCAACACACGCGATGGATAAATACAGTGGCACTCATATGTTGCCTGCAGAGATATACAGGAAACTCTACTTCACCGTGTGCTAAATATGTGCAAAGCGTTGGGTCGTTTTTTTTTTATTGCACAAGGCAAGCTGTCAAATCTTTATTTATAATGAGTTTCTGGGAGGCTGACACAAAGGTCATGACCTAATGAGCAAGATACATTTCACCAAGAAGACAGAAATTACAAGTGGCAGCAGAGAACAAATTAATTCTATTAATGGAATATTCAACACTCAAAAAGATCTCTTAACAGCTGGGGGTAAGAAAAAGATTAGCCGTCTTTGGAGAATTAGCAATTCCAAGTGGCACACATTAATGTGGGGACCTAACCTCTGCAACACAGTGTCAGGATGGGTTAGCTTGAAAAAGAGGACGCACACCCGAAGGGGCACTGACATGCAGGCACACACATCCTTCCTTTCTCTCGGCCCCTTTGTCTCTCTCTCTCTCTCTCACACACACACAAACACGTTAAGCTGTGAGACAAGGCAGTGGACAGATAAATGGATTTGGCCTACAGGCATTTTCAATTATAGCACTAGAACCATGAGAGCATGAACAAAGGACAATAAAGACAATTAGGGAGGCGCACTGCTTAACTGTACACCGCTAATATATCAACCTTTCTCTTGTTCCTTTCAAACACCGCCATTGTTTTTGCAGTTCATCCCAGCTGACGAAGCATGTGACGGAAAGAGGGGAGTCTCTGAGGAAGCTCACCTTCACAAACACCAGCCCTCTCATTGTCTTCAGCAGCAAAGAAGCTCCCATGGACGCCACGTAAACAGTGGAATAGTACTGAATGTGAGGGTTGAGTCTCATGCTGTTGCTCGCCATCGTTTCATTCGCCGAGATTAATGATGTGTTCTGAGGGCAGATGGAGCAACAAATTACCAACAAATCCAATTCTTCCAATTGAAGGATATTTGCCACTAATGAGGGTGTGAAAAGCCCATTTTGGAATACAAAAAATTACATGAAAATCAGTCAGTTCAATGATGTTTACTATTCCAATCACATTTCTCATAGCAGCCAGCGCCTGCTTTGCCACACATCTGTTTCTTCACTGCTTGCGCTTGGGTTTAATTAAGTTTACCGTGGAGCCGTTACTTTTTGTAATCATGCACATTCAGATTAATGCTCAGTGTGCAGCCACAACTCACTGGAGCATTGTAGTTATTTTTCTTCTGGGAGCCGATACACACTAAAAAAAGAGGCGTGTATTACACAGTAGTAAAGCAGGATCGTCTTCACACTCACCCCACTGCCCTGCCCGATCCAGTGACTCAGCCACCAGTTACTGAAGGCTATGGTGCCTGTGGTGGAGAGGAAGAGGAATACGTTGATGATGAAGACTATTGGACCTCCTGCTGCTTTGATGTATGCCGCATACACAGACCAGGCGACTGCACCGGAGCCCTTCTCCTCAGCTTTCATCAGACACTCTGAATAAAAAAAAAAACATAACTTGTAGAACATTCTCAAGAAAAAAAAATCATTTATTCTACATGTGGAGCACGAAAAGTGTCAGGGTCTCTCACCTCCTTTCTTGCTTTCAGCCTTTGGCACGGCCTTGGCAACATCGACCACACTGTCAGGCTTTACTGCACCTTCCCGTTTGTTTTTTAAATTCTCTTTCACCAGATTCTAAGAGACAGAAACATAAAGGAAAGGAGGTGAGATTTAAAACATGCCACCGCAACAAATCTCAGCAGCAGGAACAACACACTGCAAGTCATTTAAAGTGAGATATCGCTGACAGAGTCTTTAGCCTCTCACCAGTAAATCAATGCACGCATAAATAATGAAAGGCCATGTTTGCATTAACATTTCCAGCTACTGGAGTTGCCTTTCTGGTCTTATGAATTATTCAGCTTGTAATGTTCAATGTTTTTGTGCATTGGGGGCAAAGATGCCTTACTAAAACAAGCTGGCCTGGATCCACATGTGCCTCTGGCCTTACCTCCTGTTGCATGCTGTTGAATAGGCTGGCATAGTCACGCTCTCTACACATTAACTGAGCATGGGAGCCCTGCTCTGCAATCTGCCCATCCTTCATCAGAATCACATGGTCGCACTGGGGCAGGTACTAGAAAAATAAGATTAAAAATCAAGCACATATCAATAAACTGATCATCAATAAATCATTGAATATTTTAAGGACGCTGAAACTACAAAATATAAATTTGAGAAAAATGACATTTTTGAAATTCCCATGGTTTATTTATTTATTTAATTGTTTATTTGGCAGGGACAATGCACAGTAATGAACACTTAAAACATTAAAATGTGTCAAGCGTAACAGTGCCAGATTTAGCTTTGAGCTCATTTCCATCCGCAGTCCCTCACATAAAACATTTAAGAAAATTACATTTTACAAACATAGCAATAACAAAATACATGATATGCAAAAAGTGCTAAATAGCAAGAGCAGCACACACAAGTATTTATGACATGGTAATACAATATAGCAGCAACGACATATAAAGTGCAAGAGAAGATAGCCCTGTATTAAATTGCATTTAGCGGTGATTGCACGTCTGTTTGTTTCTCAACCATTCGTTGAGTTGACCTTTAAAGCTATTGAAGTATATGGTGGCTTACTTGCAGCTGGTGCGTTACAAAGAGCACCGTCTTGTCTTTGCCGGCAGCTTTGATAGCTTTATGGAAGACATGGGAACCAACGCAAGCATCGACCGCACTGAGAGGGTCATCCAGGAGCATTATGGGCCGCTCGCTGTAGAGAGCCCGGGCCAGACTCACTCTCTGACGCTGCCCTCCACTCAGGTTGGCTCCTCTCTCTCCAATCTAGGAAAATAAAGTAATTAAACGTATCCTCTCGTTGTGGTTGCACTGAATTTCAAACAATCAATTGCATAAACTAAGAATACTGCAGGCACGATAAAAGAAGCATTTGATTTCATTACAAAATCATATTATTTACAAGCAGATACCTCAGTCATGTCCCCGTATGGGAGCTCTGCAAGATCTGGGAGAAGGCAGCAGGCTTCCAGGACAGCATTATATCTGATGAGGAAATGTGTTAAATAAGGATTAATCTCAAGCTTTATTGCATTTGTTCATCATATCATTAATATACGGGAGTTGATCTTACTTCTCCGGGTCATATACGTTTCCAAACAGGATGTTTTCCTTCAGTGAGTCATTGAGGATCCAGGCTTGTTGAGCGACGTAAGCAAAGCCGCCGCTAACCGCTACGTTCCCCTCTAACAGGGTCATCTGGAACAAGGGGATGACGCAGAGAAAACACTTGAAACATTCCTTTTTGAAATTGTGGGTCATTGTGCGGCATTGGGTAAGAAAAGAAACATAAGGTTCAAGAAGACTATCCTTTGGGCTGCTATTCATGTCTTTGCAGGAACTGAACAACCTCACCTGTCCCAGTAGAGCGGACAGAAGAGAGCTCTTTCCTGTACCGACGCCTCCACAGATTCCAACCAGTGAGCCCTACAAAAAGGGATACAAACAGTTGAAGGTTTTCAGCCGGTTTAAATATAAATGTCCTTCGACATTGTTGTTGTATATGCTTGTGTTGTTACCCTCTTAATGCGCAGGTCGATGCGGTGCAGGGTCTTGTGCAGTGGAGGCCGTATGCTTTGTGTGGAGGAGATGGTGCTTTGTGGACTCTCCTGCTCCATATTAGTGAGGAGACTTTGAGCGTTAGGAACTTCCTTGTTCCCTTTGCCTTCCTCTGTGGAAATGTACAGGCTGAGCTTCTCCCTGCGCAGCACGCGTTTCATCCCTCCCCGTTTCTTCGGAGGTGGGTTAGGTTTAGCAGGAGGAGGGCGAGCCTTTTCCCAAGCCAGTGTGGCATCCCGAAATTCCACCGCGTTGCTAGGATCCTCCATTTTGAGCAAAACAACCTCTCTGTCTTCCATCATAAAGAGCCTCTGTGGAGACGGACACAAAAGGTTATGTTATTGGACTTAAAAAAAAAGGGACAGTTTTTTCTTCTATGCATGAGTACAATAAATGATTGAAAACAAGCTCAAGGTTTCTGTCATTGCGTACTTTAAAAAGGAAAAACCTGGTGCAACATACTTGAGCCTTGGCTATTATGTGAGACATGTTCACCGTGCATACACATTACTTAGCTTTGCATGTTCTCTACATGCTTACGTGATTATTTTATTATATTCTGCACTTAAAACCACAGAATGCCTGAGGGCTTTTAGTGCATCCTTGGCAGAAACTCTTGCTTACTTAACCCAAGCTGGCTCAGTGAAACCTTTCCTCACTAACATGTGACTTTTACCATGTGTTCGGAAAGTATTATGTCAGCATGGGGTGTAGGCAGGTGTCTTTCAGTATCAACAACAGCATATTTTTCATTGGCTGTAAGAATGGTACAACCTGCTTGCTCACTGACAGATTTTCATTTGGCTGTAAGAATGGTACAACCTGTTTGCTCACTGACTGAACCTTGAAGTTAAACAATACCTGGATGTGTTCAATTACATTGTGTACATATCAGTGATGCGTTTGGGAACATATTTTTGTGTTGGCTCTGTGAGAGGTAGTTGTCAGACTCGTCTAAGTGTTCTCACCTGAAATCTTTTAACTGCGACGGCACCCTCCGACAGTGACCTTACAGCCATTGGTGTGACTTTCAAGGAAAAGGTCATGGAGTTGAAAACTGCAACTACAGTGAAAGCCTGAGGTAGGAAGTGTAGAAATTGAGACAGTTGTGCACAAACACGTTACCTGGGGCTATACCTGACTTTAAAATGTACAAATGCTCATAACAGCAAGAGACTTGTAACATCAAATCAAATTGTTAAAATATCCACTTAATGTAAATAATCTTCATTTTATAACAAAGAAATAGGAAACCATATTTTAAATATAATCTGGAAAACCACATCTAGCGTTTCCAGTGAAGGAAGACGAATCGGAAGTTGATATATGCAGCATGGTGGGTATAGAATAACATGTTTTAATACCTGAGCTGCAGTGAGGTCATAGCCCAAAGCCATGTGTAGGGTGAAAGTGCATGCGCTTGCTATCACCACGACGATGGGAGCCACACCCACTGTGAGGCTGTGGACGACACCAGCTTTCTCAAGTATTCCCCTCTCCTCTGATCGCACCTCTGTAGAGGAGATGAGAGAGAGGGAGATGATAAAGAGGAAAAGACAGGCAGAAAGAGAGAGGAAATAAAGTATGAGTTTATTGACCCCCAATGGTTGTTTCAAATTCAATCAACAACGTCTCAAGAGCCACGAACAAATACACAGCTAGTAGAAACAGAAATAGAAACAAGAGGAAGTGTGAGGGCCCTGTATCCGTACATGGTATGGAGAAGGCTTCAAAACCTGTTGAACCATGATAACTGAGTGCAATGCCCAAATCCTGCCCCCCCCCCTCCTCCATGTTGGTATCTCTCAAATGCACTCTGCTAGCTGCTTTGTTCACCCAGTTCATTTGCTGCATTCACTGGAACCAAAAGCGTGTGCATCTTTAATTTAGACACTGCAGCACAGCGTGAAATATGAGAACCCCCTCCTCCCGGTACTCCATAGGATTATCATTACTCTCCATGGGATTCACTTTGAATATGATGGGTGTTTCTGCAAGGATCACCAAGCGAAAGTCACGTGCCCAGGGCAGAAACAATGGGATCATCAATTTAACAACAATAGTAATTGAGGGGAATAAAAGTGCAGCTCATTGTCCATTAAGCTGCATGGCAATTAATTGTCATTATAACAGGTGATCAAAGGACAGCCATGGAAACGAGCCCCACCTGGCTAATTAGAAGCATGATTAAAATGGGGGAATGATATTGTCCACAACATACAGCAAGGGATAAAAGACCATGGCCAATTCATGGATAAGCAGCCTTGACAACCAATCAAGCGATCATACGGCCCCGAAAAACCTTGCAAATTAACCTTGAAGCCAAGGGATTCAGACTGGCCCCTGATTAGAGGATAGCACCGGGAACGATTTAAACAACATGAGTTAATGAAAATAGATTTAGGGTCAGGGTTATCTTGCCAATTCACCAAGAGTATAAGTCTAATTTCATGTGATAAACTGACCATTTAGTTACTAATTTGCCACTGTGACAGGTGTTCAAATGAGGTGATTCTTTAATCTAGGCGAGTTGTGAATAAAAAGCCTAATCAAGCACTTAATTATATACGTTTTTGCATCTCGAAAGCTCCCGGGTCCTGACCACAAATGTGAAATGAGCAGGGCATTAAGAACGGATCCCACACCTTCTTAAACATCAAATTCAAGGACTTTTCAGGCCTTCTTTGCTAAAACAAATATCACAAATAACTTTGTATTCTTGGACAAAATATATACAGTCAAGAGAAACATGTCTAATAATGTTTATTTTTAAAATCTTTAAATGTTCACCCCCATCCTCCTTAAATGTACACACATTTGAGGACTCAAGGACCTGTGAGAACGGTGATTATGATCTAGCCGAGTCATTTGGGAACATGACAGACACTCACTGTGAATATTCTTTGCAAAGATGTCTTCCCAACAGTACATCTTGATGAACTTCATGCAGCCCAAGATCTCGTTCATCAACCTCACGCGGCGGTCAGTCACTGCCACACACTTTTTGCGGAAATATGCCGTCAGTCTCGATGCGAGCATCTGTCCAGACGGAAGAGAGGAAATGATGACAAGATAAATAAGTGGCAGGGGAGGAAATGAAAGCAGACACAATCACATTAGCCGTGCTGCAGGCCTGTCCGGGGGACCAGAGTGATAAATGCCTCTCACAACAATACCAGGGTCTCCGGCTGTCAGGCGCCGACGCAGACTGAGTGTGATTTGAAAGTAACTGCTACAAAGTTGACAGAAGATTGATAGCCGAAGAGTTATGATGCTTTTAAAAATGCTTCTACAGCCTGAATTACAGCAAAGATTTTACTCTACTTTAAGTCCTTGCTCAGAAACTAATGAGTCAGCAATAGAGTATCTGATTAACTTTGTTAAAACTTTAAGAAATGTATTAAATGAAATTGCTTGTCTCAGCTGTAAAATTTACGATAATAACTTTTGGTAAAACTTTTTAGGAATGGTTGTAATTAAAACGCTTGTCACTGCTTTAATGAGAGCAATCATTTGGTATTCATTTTCTAAAAGTCTGTAATGAAACTATGTTTTGTCGTTGACAGCAATTTACTCTATACTAAAAAACTCTGACAGTAGTCTGTGTTTGGGTGTGTGTATCAATATAGTGTAATGTGTGAGTGTGTAAACTCCTAAATGTGGCTCCTTTGTAACAACAGCACTGTGCAAATGCCTCAAAAGTTGAACTGAAAAAACGTTCTGTCCTTTGTCTCACTGTTTCAAAAGTTCTGGCTGAAGTCGTACCATGGTAGGGTAGAAGAGGATGAAAATTGCTGAGCCCAGCAGAGCAGTGGGGCCCAGGAAGTATGCAGTGTAGGACAGACCAAGTATTCCCACCAGGGGCCCCCCAGCCAGCATGCAGCCTATTGAAACTGCTTCATACAGCCGCTGGCCGTCATTCGAGCAGATGTTAATCAGCTAGGGAGAGAGACAGGGAATGAAGATTACAAATGGACCTACATCTTTTCAAGCAGGATGCACTGAAACCTTAAAATCAAAATTTTACAAATACACTCGTCCTTTATTCGCACATTTTCTTGTTGGACAATGATTCCTCTTAAGCTGTGTAATGACTAATCTTAGACAGACTCCCCTCCCTCAGGCTATGGGATTTACTGAGATCTAAGCAGAAATGGCGTAAGAGCAGAAATTAAATCCATCTCAATCAACTGCACGTAGCGCCCTGCACCAAGGGGTGATTTCACTAATTTGGAGATGAGTCGTCCCCCCCCCCCCCAGGATTATATCACCTACCTCGCCCGGTGTGATGTCTTTAGTGTGGCGTAGGCGGAGGATTTTGTGGAAAGCAAAAGTAAGGGCGGCCCCACGGAGGCGCGCTGCAGTGCGGTAGTTGACGGCCCACATGAGCGCCATGGACCAGGAGCGTATCAGCTCCGTGAGGAAGATCCCGGCTACCAGAGACAGGCCGTAAGGAACGCAGCTCACTGGACTCTGGGAATACTCCAGCAGAGCTCGCACCAGGAGAGCCTGGGGACACACAGGGAGGAAAAGCAAAAGAGTGGACACGGAGGTAAAAGAATCAGCGGAGAAATAGTAACTATTGCTAACCGTACAGTATCAGGTCTAAAACCACCAGACCCAAGGACAGTTTTATTCCACAGGCCATAACACTATTAAACACCTGGACCTTTTAAAGAACATCCATAAACAACCTTCTGATTCTATTTTGCTAATTATTTATCTAATATATCATTCCATTTACTTGTATATAGACTCTTCTTGCACTATTTCTATTTTATTTGTATTTACTTGCACATCTCCAAACATTCTCTCGCACTATTGTATCTGTTTTATTTGTTCTATGTCCTATATATATATGTTGCACTGTGACCTAACTTGTTCACTGCCATATCTACACTGTAGCTAATGTGCAAATGACAATAAAGCCTTGAAACTTGAAACAGATCCC